GCCCCGAATTTTGACACGTCTTCCAGAAAAATCTGACCTGGAAATTTTGACCCGAAAGAGGCGGCGTAACCTCTCGGGTCAAAAAAACCGCTCGTGTCAGAATTTCAGGTCAAAAAAAGCACAGGTGGGAACCCTAAAATGAAGCTCTCTTCCTGTTCGATTTTGTTGAATTGGTTCCGTGTCCGAACCTTTTTGGGCTCACCGCAAAAACAATTGCGCCGCCAATATTTCAAAAATCGTCGCATATCACACCAACGGCCGCGCTCACGCGCTGCCCCAAAGACTTCGTGGTTCACGCCCGATGTCTTTTCAGCTACGCCCTAAGCCGCTGGAGAGCATCAGGGCAGGCTTGGCTCAACGCGGTGGTGAGCTTCTCAGTGTAAAGCAAGTGCAGGGTGCCAAACAGTATCGGTTGGAGGTGACAGCGGACCTGGGCGGAGTCACCACGCGTTGGCGCACCGACTGCATCAAGTATCCGAAGTCCAACAAGAAGGCCCGTGACTGGGCGGCCGAAGCGGCCCTCGCTGCTGTCTGGCGGCCATCTCATTGTGACCGCTATGCCACACTCTCGGAAGACACGAGCAAAGTCGAACCGGCGCCTCCAAGAACCAAACGGCCACGAGACTGCCGTCAGCAAGATCTTTCTTGCGGGCGCGACCACTGCCACACACCACCTGCAAAGCGTGCTGCACCTGCAGGGGCTGGCCGACCGAAGGGAAGCTTCGGCCGGAAGAGGTTGCATGAGATGATGGCAACATACAAGGCGCGCGTGGAGCAAGGCCAGCTGAAGGTTGCTGACATGCATGTGCGGGACCTCTCCACCGCGATGTTGGATGCGGCGGTAGAAGTGGATAAACATGAGGATGTCTGGCGACCGGCATTCCTCAAGCGCCAGAGCAACAGGGGTGTGCGAAGGGCAGAGGCTCTGCGCAAGCTCGCAAAGCATAGATCGCAGCTGGAGAAGGCAGCCGAACCTGGGACGTGGAGACGCAGCCAAGGGACAGAACGGAGGACGGGCGTGTTTGGGTCTGCGTGCATGCCTTCGCGGAAACTCTCTCCGAGCTCCACCCGGATCTACGAGCGAGGGTCACGAGCAAGAAAGAGTACGCCGATGGCAGAAAGACAATATTTTGCCACCAGGACGAGTGCATCTACAGGACCAACGACGGGGAGCGTATGGCGTGGTGGCCGCCGACCATGCACGGGCTGAGAAAGAAGGGAGAAGGACAGGGCATCATGATTTCCGGCACCATCGTGGGCGACGTTGGATTCGTCGAGGGCACTCAAGAGGAAATCGACAAGGCCCAAGATCTGCGGCGTGAGCGCTGCCGCATTTCGAAGGAAAAACACGCTGCAGGTGATCAGACCAGGCCTGAAAAGTACCGCGACATCAACATGCTCTACTTCGAGAGCGAGGGCGACGACCGCAAGTTCTCGACGTACTACAAGTTCGAGTACGGCAAGAACAAGGAGGGCTACTGGACGGGGGAGAATATGATCGAGCACATGGCGGATGTGTTGGATCTGTTGGCCGTCAAGTTCCCGAACCACAGGCCCATCTGTTTTTTCGACTGGTCATCGTGCCATGATTGCGTTGAGGAGGGGGCACCAAGTGTATCTAGAATGAACGCGGGGTACGGGGGGGTGAGAAAAGGGCAGGATCTAGCTCCTCAGAATGCTACCACCATATACTGGAAGACACACCCACACTCAAGAAAGGGGCAGTGCAGCACCTCACCTTCCAGCAGGGAGAGTACCCATTCTATGAGCCAGACGCCACCGATCACGTAGGCAAGGTCAAGGGGATGAAGCAAATCCTGTTTGAGAGGGGGCTTTGGATCCCAGGGATGACCGTGTTGGGGGGCAAGAAGGGTCAGGAGCCTAACCCGAAGATGAGCATGCCGGCGGTGTTGCGCGCGCAAAAGGATTTCGCGAACGTCGACTCTAGTCTAGAGGTTCTCTTGAAGCGCCACGGAGGGGTTGCGCTCATGCTTCCAAAGTTCCATTGCGAGTTGAACCCGATCGAGCTCGTGTGGGGTAGATCCAAGTGGTGAGTCCGCAGGAACTGCAAATACACTATCCCCTGCTTGCGAGAGAACGTTTCCAAGAGCTTCAGGGTAGACAACTTGAGCCTAGACATCGTTCAAAAGTTCTGCCGGAAGGTGGCCAACTTCCACGCGGTGTACGACGCAGGGCTTACGGGCGCCGAGGCGGTAGATGCGCAAGAGAAATGCAAGTCGCACCGTAAGCCGGCTCCATCCGAATACATTAACCCCAAGTAACGTATGCTAAGAGTCGGTACGTTGTGTATGGGGTTCGAAAGAATGACCTCAACTTTTGCTTCTGTCGGTGTCGGTTGTCCACGAAGTTTGTTGTCCGTTTTTTTTTTCGACCGGCTGCGTTTCCCTCCCGGTCGATACGATCGGTAGTATTTGGCAGGCGATGTGCTGTATGTAGAAGACTAGTATTTTGGCAATCGTAAAACGTAGTGCGAGGGAGTGTTATCGAGTGTAAATACAGGGTTTTCCCAACGATGAAGCGAAAACAACGAAATATCAAGCGTTGAACGATAAGTTATGCGACCAGAAAAGGGGGGGTACAATCTCTTGTGCCCCCCTTCAAATGTGAATATCTACTTGTTAAGTGATTTTTTTTTTTTTGAGGGCGCCATCGCGTTCGCCTGCTCAAACCCCGCCGATATCAACCAAGAACAAAAAAAAAACGGCATGATTACGATAGTGGTTGTCGAGATATTGGACGAAAAGTTTCATCCCCTCCCTCCCAAAAACGCCTGGAAAAAACTATACGAAAACCACGAATTCTCAGAAACGTCTCAAATCGATTTGGTCCCTGAACAACTCTTGTGGCATTTGTGATGGAGATCAATACTAAAAAACAAATAAATATTATTGATGAAGTTATGGCCGGTCAATTGAAATCGGCGGGACAACCGGTGGAACTGTACCCCTGTATCCCCCCCTTTCGCGGTCTTTTTTACCATTCCACTAATAATAATCCCTCCCCACATCTGCTTGACGTTCCCCTCCAGGCCTCCGTTGGCCTTCTGCACTACTTCGTCCTAAATACACGTTTTCTTCTTTTTCACTAGTCCCTTCACCTGTTTTCTCTTGGCCCTGTACTTTTTCCAACTCTCCTCAGACGCCTCACTCAGGTACTGCTTGAAGACTTCTGTACGTTCCCCTATTTCTTCTTTCAGCTCGTCATCCCACCACTTAACCGATACCCCACATCGTANCAAACGCTCTACCTTCCACTGGAACACTTTCCTCTGTTTCTTTCACTCCATCTTTCTAGATCGGTCGATGTTTGCCCATATGAGGAAGTGGTCGGTCGAACCTATATCTATCGCATTTACGTGCAGCTCTGGGATCTGCGTGCTCCCCCTATCTATCTACCAGGATGGTGTTGAACGGTAGGAGGGAAAGCGATAAGTAAGCCGGAGTTCACCAGGCAACGGGCAGTTTGCAATGAATACTCGACGACTACATCCTGGTAGANCGAACCTATATCTATCGCATTTACGTGCAGCTCTGGGATCTGCGTGCTCCCCCTATCTATCTACCAGGATGGTGTTGAACGGTAGGAGGGAAAGCGATAAGTAAGCCGGAGTTCACCAGGCAACGGGCAGTTTGCAATGAATACTCGATCCTCGACTACATTTGAGGCGAGGGGCGAATTTGGGGGGGGCGGGGGCGGGGACATATATATACCCACCCGTGTATCCCCGGGTTTTCCGCCGAGGTGTCGGCGCTTCGGGGTCATTTGGAAAGGGGGGGACATGTACCCATATATCCCCGGGTTTTCCGCCAAGGCGTCGGCGCTTCGGGGTCCTTTGCGGGGGGGGCGGATATACCCTTGTATCCCCAGGTTTTCTGCCGAGGCCTCGGTGCTTTGGCGTCCCGCTCTCGCACATGGTGTGCATCACCACTGGCGCTGCTGGCGCTGTGGAGCTGTGGAGATCCGTAAGAGATCGCAGACACCCCGCACACAACAGGGTGTCATCTTCCCAATGCATACCCCAGGAGCAGCCGCAAATACTGCCCGCCAGTCGCCCGTGTGGCCGATTGGTCCAGAAAAAAAACATAAGACTAACATAATAAGGCCATTTGTTACGATGCCTGCTTTTTAAAGGCTGTCTTTTTTTCATAAACGAGACGCCCCAAAATATGATAACAAAAAAGTTGACCCCTGTGTTACGACGTCTTTCTCTGAAGCTAGGGTTTCTTGATGATTTTCACCGGCGTTCGGCGTGCGGGAGCGAACTGATTTTTAAATTTCCACCTTCACCCACGCCACCGACCGCGCACAGCACGAAACACAACGCCCCTCTGCACCAGCTCCTCTGCACACAGCCACATCCCGTAAAGCCGACCATGGATGCTATGAAACTAGATGGCGTACAGTCACTCCCGCTGGAGTTCAACTCGCACGCCGAGACAGCGATTTCGATGCTGCGGGACAGGAGCTCCGGTCTGACGGACGCCAAGTTGCTGAAGCACCTCCAGAACGCGTGCATCGTGTACACGTGCTTGGCGGTCAAGCGCAACGCCGGGATTGTCTCCACACAGGCCAAGCACGCGGCAGCGGCGCAGGGGTAAAAGGACATCGCTGTCCCTGGCTTCTTCAAGTGGCTCCAGGAAAACTTGGACAAGGAGGATTTCTTCTTGCAGCCGTGGCTCACGTTCGAGGTCATGGGGGAGACGTCCATGAAGGGAGGTAAGACACAACCAACGCGGGAGAGAGGCAGGTTTCGAGTGCGAAGACAACCGTCTTGAGGGAGAGGGACTGGGTGCGAGTGTGTACCTGACCCTCTGCGCCTTCATGATGTGCTGCTGAAAATGACACGCTCTACGAAGGGTGTGGGGTATCTGGTCCGGCCAAAGGTTGTTTTTAGGTTGCAGTCAGGCCACGACGGGCTGCTGCAGCAGCAAGAGGAACCAACATGCTGCTGTAGGATACCTTGTCACGGCCCCATCATTTGAGCGGCAACCACAGGATGCAACCCGACACCAGTGTACCAGTCTGTGCGTAGCCTTTCGAGCCTCAGTTGTATGGCAACCTAGGCCCGCCCATTTCCTGGAGCAGTACCGTAAATGACATGAGATACCACACCCCCTTGACCGATATTCAAAGCTCGATTACTCCACGACAAAGAGGATGCACGAACGGAACGGTGCATTTTCGGAACGCTCTCGATGAGACAGCTTCAACGCCGCCATTGTTGTCACTGTGACTCCTTTTGCTGTTGAGGAATGGGCCTTTCAAAATCGGTCCAGGGGGTGTGGTATCTTGCGTCATTTGTGATACTCTTGTTGAGAGGCATGGAGAGCAATGTTTGTAGTCTACAGCACGTCATCCAGCAGTAGGTATGTTTCGGATAGATCATTGCACATATTTGATTTGCTGCTACTGCTGACCATCAACTGCTACTGCTGGACTGCTGTTCGACTTGCCTACCCCATGTTACTGTGACGCAGGCGCGGTCCTCTTCACCGACGGCGAAAAATTGTGGAAGCGGTTCGACAAAATCCTTCGCGAAATCAAGAAATAGACAGGTGTGTCTGTCTGTGATCTTGTTTGTTGTGTACGTGCTTGGAGCGACATCAGTACAGCTGCCGCGCTGCAATTTTTTTGTTCCGTGTAGGGTATTTTCCTATTCTCTTGTGGCGTGCACTGTTGTGAACGAGCAGTCGACTGCAACCACGCCTTCCCGAGAAAAACATGGTTGGCGTCGGCGGCGTAACTACTACTGTGTGTACAGTGGCGAGTAGTGCACATACCTTCCGCCACAGAAGCACCTACGAACAACTCCCGTAGGCAATACTCAATGAAGAAGCGAGGCCGAACACGAAGGAACACGGAGGATATTGAACAATCTGTTCTCAAGAATAGTAGTCGGTTTTACGAGAGTAATAATCAGTGATAGTTGCGTATGTTTCTGTAGAAAACGCCCACATGCGCCCGTGTCTGGTGTGTTGTCGTGAGCATCGAACGCGGTGCCTAGCGGTTTGATGTTCTTGCTTTTTGTCCGCATACCAATGGAATTGCCGCACTACATTTTAATTTCGAAATGTCACGTGCCCCGATCACCATACATTTTTTTTTTTTCTCGCATCATTGGACTCTGTCTGCCCCTCTGACCCCTATCCTCCACTTCTACTAGCTAGACGACCCAACCGGGGTCACATAGGAGGGGGGGGGCTGGACCCCCTCCTGCGGTTCCTGCCTGAAGTATTTTTATCGCGAGAAGGGTACAGCAATCCCTTCCCTCGCGACTTACGAAGTCGATTATGGTTTACTAACAAACGAGCTTTGCAGCGCGTCGCTTTCATCCTAGACCAGGATTTATTCAGTGAAAAAAAACTCACTCTGCCGGGACTCGAACCCATGACCAGGCCCTTTGCAGGCTGCGAGGCTACCCACTAGACCACCGGGGCGACATGTACTATGCGGACAACAGCAGTGTTGAACAAATGCTCAATCGCGTTAAGAGCTGCTTTTGGCGGCAACTTGCTGGCGTTTCCCCCCTCCCCCTTCAAAAAAGCAACACAACACCACGGGTGGGAACAGCTTTAGAGATAGGTGGCCCCAGGGCGTACAACATGTTGAGAATAAAATATAGTTGACCGCCCATCCCCCACCGTGTTTCCCCCCGATCATCTAAACTACGCATGCAAGCTGTCGCGGTGAGACACACAATAAACAACGATACACTCATGTCAGATATATTGTTGCACTCTCCGCACCAAGTCAAAACTGTAGTCACAAACCCTTGTGCTTTTCGCAGTGTGTCGTTCTGCCCTCGGTACGGTGAGACCCTCTCCCTGGTCGGCCTACTCTAAAACGATGACGGACCTCATGTGCATGTGGCACACCGGTGCTGTGTCACTTTGGCCGATTGGCATGACTCCCGGAACAATATTCTAAACCTCAGCGAAATATACAGTGGTGTGTATTGTTGACATAGTTTCCGCGCCACGGCCCTTCGAAATAAGTCGGATAGAAGAAAACCGATCGAAAATAGTAAGACCAGTTGCGACATGGGTGTGAACTGCTGCCCGTCAACATTCGAAATATGTGTCACCTTTGCGCGTACACACGAGCGAGAGTNTACCAACTATTTACCGTCGGGCAGCCAAGACGAAGTCGCCATCGAGTACCTTCTGGACGAAGTCTACCACATGGAATCAGGAACGGGGACGCAGAGGACCCGATCGAGTTGGAAGAGAGGGGTGGCGGTGAGGGAGAGGGTTCGGAAGATGACTCTGGGGAATCGTCACCGACGGAGAGCGAGGACGGCGGGGGTGGAAAGCAGAAAGGAACGGAGGAAGCAGTGGAGCCACAGGAAAGCAGCGGTGATGACTCACCGGCGGGGGAGGGGGGGATGAAGAAGGAGCCAGAAGACGATACGCCGGGCAACGGGGATGATGCCCCCTCCGAAGAAATCACACGAGAAGAAGGCGGGTTTCCGCAGAGGCCAAACAAGTGGATGCACCAGTAATTCCTGACATTCTGTTTGATCGGAAGACCATGCAGCAGCGAGTACCCTGACCTCCGAACCGCACGCAAAACATCCGGACCCAAGGGTCGCGGCGCGCCCGGGGCCAAGGGTCGCGGCGGGAAGCAGAAGGCGAAGA